TTATAATTAGTAAGAATGTCAGAATATTTAATCAAAGAAACGACTGTAAGAATTTGGACAAAAATACTAACTGCTTATAAGATATAATAGGGAATAGAAAGGATTGTCTATAAAAAGGGGACAGCTTAATTAGCCTAAATTGAATAGACCGTCAGTGACACAAATGCTACGTTAAAATAGCATAGCCAAAGAATAATCCAACTCCAATTTGTTGAGTTATACCTTAGGACCAGCGCTGGGATCTATACAACAGATAAAAGCCTGAAGGATGCCAGGTTTAAGTCGGAGAGATATTAAATGTGCAAAGTGAGTTGGTTTTAAATGTGGCTCCAGACGATAGAGCTTCAGTACAAAATACGTAAAAAACATGAGTAAACCACTGATATAGGATGAATCATGGTGGTGGATGGTAATGAACAAATGCGATGCACTAGAACATCAAACGATATCGAGAGTCTGTCGCCTCTAGAGAGACAGACGTCTGGAGAAATCCCTGAGCCGAGAGTTCTTCCTGCAGAAGCACTTAAACGATTTGAACATCTGTTTATGAGCGATTCAAGGGGTCCCTGCCTGATTGGTCAAAATGTAGGCCCGGTGAAGTGGCGACATTTTGTTAGTCGGTAAGAAAAAGATTGCGGAAATTTACCAATTCCCTCTGTATAAAGTGAATGATGGGAAATAGTAGCTGTGCGTGATCCAACGAAACTAATAGTTGCAGTAAGGAGTATGTATAGGTCGCTACCCCTAGATACTTGAAACTAAACATTTTGAGAGAAAGTGGCCCTCATGGCAATCGGCATCATCAGTGTCAGTCACCGAAACAACTTTTAAGTAACGATTCTAAGTACAACGCCGGCAAAAAGCATGAGAATGAAACCACTCAACGTTTCTGTGAGCAAAAATAAGTACCAACACAACAAAGGATGCAAAAATAAGCTGGAAAGTCAATGGTACGAAAACAAATGGTCACATCAGCCGGGTAGTCATAGCTCTGTTCACAAAAAAACGAAAGGTGGTTAGTCCGGAAAATTTAAAATACCATTTAATATCCTTATGTCACTCAGGGTTCCAAGAATAATATAAAAAACCATTCATGATAAGCGAAAGACTTGATGCTAGAGTTTAAGATACTGGAGTTATAATAAACATAAGAAAAAACAAATGCAAAAATTAACAAGTGGGGTAAATTTTTCGTCTCAATTTAGACAAAGAATTATGTAACTATATTTGACTGTGGGTCGGGATAAAATGATTTGTTCAATGTAGATGTGGCAGACGTGCCTAGACAGAAGATGTATAACCCTCATATTTATTAGATTCTCTCAGACAATGGGCTGAAAAGGTGACAGCAGTCTAGCCATCAAATAAGAATAATCATCCTGTAGGAACAAGCAACAAGAAACTTAGCATAGGTCATAGAGGCTAAAGTTTTAGTGGGTATGTTGTTTTAAGCAATCGCATAAACAATTCGCAACTCCCGTGGGAAAAAGCCAAAAGGGTATGATAAGTTTTTTCATAGATTTGTGTAACCATAAGCTTAATAATCCAAAGGAGAAAGTTGGCAAAAATTAGAGAAGGTTAAATTTGCTCAAAAGTTCAGAACGAGTAAAAAAACTACCTGGAGAAAAATTAAACTTAGAATAGAGATGCATGATTGCATGGACAATATACGAAGAATGGAAGAGAATACATTAAAATTGTAGTGAAGGTCAAGTCGATTAAATATATGGACATTTTATAGCTTATATATGAGGGTATAAGTAATAGCACATAAGACTTTAAAATTCGGCTTAAATGTCTAATAGAATTTCAGCAACACTCATAATAAAGGATGTCCTTGCATCTGAGACGGAAATAAGCATTAATTAATGAAACAAGTTAGGCACAAGTTTGCTTAGCAAATGTAAGTGACTATAGAATGGCCTACCATCTTCAGTTGTAGTTCCCTGAAGCAGACCGGAATCTATTCCTATGCCACAAGACTGATCACTAGCCCCAACTAGTGCAGCATGCCGTGCAGCCTGCGTGGCCAAACAGGTGATTGCTCGCAGGAGACAGGAGGTCAAAGCAGGCGCCGAAATCAGTTGGCAAGCCAGTCGGCGACCTAACCCACTAGAGCGAAGGCGGCCCCATCCACCCAAGGGACTGGCCTTGGCTGAACAGGCCAACCCAGAAAGGGTGGCTCCTATGCTATAGCGCCAAATATCCTGTGCTAAGCGAAGAGCCAGGCGAACAATTATAGCTCGAGATTTGACAGAATGGGCTGCTACGTGCTGTGCAACAATGACAGCACGATCAGCTAAAGTTAGGAGACGATCAGCCAAAAAGTCGAGATTGCCTGGATGCTGCGTGTTCTTTACACGGCCAAGAACAGGTAAAAGCCAGGATCGACGCATCTCAACATTGCCAGACTCCCTGAGAATAAATAAATTAAGAGTAAGAGATGAGTGAAAGTGATCAGTGAGCACAAATTACTAGTGAACAATTACCTAAAATAAAGAATGAATTGATCAAGCCTGGTATGTAAATACTGTCAGTACATCTAGAAAAAGAAGACGAAGTAGCAGTTTTGCACCTTTTTCATGAGGCTCAGGCTTGAAAAAAAAATTGGGTTGAAATGAATTCGTGAAATGATCTCACCAGAAAATGAAAAAAGATTCCCGCAGAGTGAAGACTATTGGACTACACAAGAGTCTTCCGCTTGACGTCCTGCGACCCCGATGAAACAGTGCTAAGCTTTCGTCTGTACTGTTACAGACACCATCAAAAGAAAACCGCTAGTTCGTAAAACATGGATTCTTGCTTAAGGATATTTGTCAGAGCATATACAAAAGCTGAGTACGGGTTCATCTGAGACGCAGGACGGTGAGTCGAGGACTTCGGTGCACAATCCAAAAGTCTTCACTTGGGGGCAATCCTACATTTTATGAGGTGAGAGCATTTCAGAAATTCGACCCAACCAACATTCCTTAGAAAAGAAAATATACGTCGCAATAAATAATCGAACGAACGTCCGGTCCGAGAAGTAACTCTACTCATTTACAAGCATGTAAAGTAAATTTGGAATAGACGTCCAAATCATAGGATGCTTCATTTAGATCGCGAAGCTAGGCATATGAAAAAGGAGTAGGGCTGCAGCCGGCCTCCTTTTTTCATGGGTTAGTATATTTTTGCTATATTTCGTGAAATATGAATACCCGCTCTGATTAGGTCTGTCACAGTACTAACGAAAGCTCAGCACAGTTTCATTGGAGTCGTAGGATGGTGAGCCGAGGGCTTCTTCGCACAGTTCAACAGTCTTCCCAACGCGGCAAGCCTCCTTCAGTTTCCAGTGAGACCACATCACGAATTCCTTTCAACCAAGTTTCCCTTCAAAATGGAGAGTCATGCCACAATTTTTAATAAAGGGATCTTTGAAATCCACTTTTTCTTCATGTAAAATTGGATTTTTAAAACGTCACCTT